GATATCACGAGAACAATAATTATTTTTGTTCTATAATAAAGAAAATTTGAATTAAACAATTTAAGTCAGGTTTAGCTATATGATTGTTATAAAATCATTAATGCTAATTTGAATGTTACTAAATCTAGTTTTTTTTTTATAAATTCAAATAGAACAAGAAATTAACAATGCTTTTAAACAACTAAATTTTGATAATTGTAAAAAATTTGCAAATAAAAATAAAGCAAATGGAAATTATTGACTTGGTTATTATTACAAATTTGGAATAGGGATTGAAAAGAATGAAAATGAACTAACTTTGTTACAGTAAATTCTCAACTTAATTGATTAATAAAATAAAATTTTAAAAAATTTATTGAAAAACTAATTTAATAAATAACAAATATATAAAAAATAAATTATAAATAAAATAAAAAATAATTAAATAAAAATATTTAAAATATAATATTTTTGAACTATATACTATAGTATAAAAAAAACCTGCAACAGAAAAAATAATTTAAATAATAATTATAATAGAAAAAATTATAATAAATAATGTAAAAAAATTAATATATTAATATAAATTATTTTGAAATTCTTCAACAAGTATTATTTCTAAATCAATATTTAAATCTATTTCATTTTCTAATTATTGTTGATTTGAAGATAAATTAGTTTCAATTTTATTATAATCATAAAAATTCAAATCTATTAATTCTGTTATAAGTAAATCATTAAGATTAGTTTTATCTTTTTCATTATCTAAATCAAAACTATTATCTTCATCTTCATCTTTATTTTTATTTTTAGTTTTATTTTCATTTTCATCAAAAAGATTATTATCTTTAATTAAATTTTTTGATATTTCATTAATTATAGTTTCAAGTTCTTCTTTATTAATTCAGATTTTATATTTGTAATATAAAATAAATGAATTTGTATTATTAATTATAGATGATTAATATTTAATATATAAAAATTTTTAAATATAAATTAATAAAATTAATAAAATTATTATTTTAAATTAAATATTATTCTTACCTTATTCTTTTATTTCCTAATATTTAATTTAAAACTGAAAATACTTTTTTATAAGCAGCTTAATAAGAAATAATAGCAACCATTTTTAATACTAATTGTTGTATATAATTATCTGATTATTTACAAATTGTTCATCAAATTTCAGGTATATTATAATCTTTAATATATTCTATATCATATAATTCAATTTTTCCTAAATATTTTCTAAATTGAGTTAATAATATTTTACAATTATTTGTATTTTCATCAAAATTTTTTAAATTTTTATAATTGTAACCAAATTTCACAAAATACTTTATCTTTATATTCTTTATCTAAAATAAAATTAAATTTCATTAATAAAATATAAATTTATAAAAATTTATATATTTTTAAATTTAAAACTAAAATATAATTAATTATATCTCTATATTTAGGATATAAAAAATAAACAAAAAAATATATTAATATATTAAATTGTTTCTAATATTTATTATAAATTTTGATATATTGTTTCTTAAAATTATAATCTGTTATATTAGAAATTTTTTTAATTACAATTACTATTTTAACTAATTCTAAAAAACATAATGCCATATTACTTGATTTATTTTCAACTACTTGAATTATTCTTTTAAAAAGTGTAAGTATTATTTTTAATTGTTTTAATTCTTACCAAAATTAATGATTTTAAAGAATATTTTTAATATTTAAAGCATCTTGAAAAATTTCAAACTGATTTTCAAGAACTTAATCAAAATATATAAAAGTATTACAACTTTAAAAATTAATAAAAAAAATAAAATTTAACTTATATTTTTAAGACTATTTTCTAATCTAATAATTGAATTATAATAATCCTAAGCAGTAGACCATCTTGTTTTTACTAAAGTTTTTAATTTTTTATTTTTTATAAAAGAATTAACAATATTTTCTTGAAAAGCAATACTAGTACAATAAGAATTTTTAAAAAATAATATTAACAGTTAGCATTTTTTAAAAACACCTTAAGTAAAATCTAATTTAATAATATATGATGTAATAAGATTAGTATGATAAGCTATACATCTAATAGTTAATATAGAAGAATATTTAGTAGAAATAATTTGTTTTGCTAATTGCATAACTGATTCTGTATCTAAAACAACAGCTACAAATTTTTTAAAACCAATTAAATTTAAAACTTTTTCAATTTCAGAAACATTAAAAAAAGCTGTATAAGATTTGCTTAATTTATCAACTAAAGCATGAATATATTATTTTTTACTAGATATAATAATTACAAAAGCATAAATAGATTTTTTTAAAGAACTACACCATCTATCTATAGTTAATAAATTATAAATTATATTAATTTAGTTTAAATTATAAATAATAAATTTAAATATATTATTACCTAATATTAAATTATTTTCATATTCAAGTTCCTTATTAATTTTAATTAAAACAGAAGAAATTTCTTGATTTAAAATAGTTGATAAAAGTATTCTTCTTTTAGAAGAAATAAAACCAAGACAAAAATATTGAATAAAATCTATAAAATATAGATGATTAATAGTAAAAAAAATGAAATATTACAATATATAAACATCTAATTAATGCTTAATCAATTTTATTTTTTTATTTTTTTTAATTTTTGTTGATGATTTATAACAATTTGTTATTAATTTTTTAGAACTACTTTCATCAATTTTAAAATTTTTATTAGAATTATTAGTAACCAATAATTCTAAATATTCTAATTTAACATCCTGTGATATATTATTACAATATAATGCTAAATGAGATTTTAATTCTATCAGGTCTTTATCTATTCCATTTTTCAAAACAATAAGAACATTTTGCTGAATAATGTTCATTTTCTATAGATTTTTTATTAAAATAATCTCAAATACTAGATTCTTTATGACCTCTTTTAGTTTTTTTAGAAATATTTTCAAATATATTTTTAGATATAATATTAGATATTGAACATTAATTTTAAATAATAAAATTAAATTTATAAGAGTTTATTTTGATTATATTGAAACAAAAAGGAATTTTAAAAATTTTATTAATTCTTAATAAGAATTAATTCAGAAATATTTTTTTAAAAAGGCAAAAAACATGTCTATTTATACAAAATTAATATCTGTTTTATATATTAAAATCCAAACCTATTTATAAAATTTTTATATTAAAAAAAGGCTTAAAAAGGCTTATATCTAAACTAAAAAACTTATTATATTATAGTTTACAAAAAATAATAAGGTTATACTAAGCAATAAAATATTTAATAATAAAAAGTCTCAAATAAATAAATAAATAAAACTTAAGACTTTTTTGTAAATAATTTTATTCTAAATAAACAATAACTTAAGTTTGTTTATATATTATTATTATTTTATACATATCTTAAATATTA